GGGGGGGGGGGGGGGGGGGGGGGGGCGGGGGGCGATATAAGTGAGGGTTTTTTGCGTTACGATTTTGGGGGGCTTATACATGGAGGGAATTATTTTCAGAATTTTACGGTATTCACACCCAAAGTGTGCAAATGCGAAGAGTTTTGCTTACAAACGAGGCTTGGTGGTAACATTTGCTCATCTGACGTAATCATGCATAAGGGCCAATCCAAGTTGTCCGAAGCCTCAGTTTCAAAGCGAGGCTAAGTGCAAAGCTATTGATATGCACTCTCGTGGAAATAAAACTCCTTTTCCACAAGGAAGGTTTTGCACTGAGCCTCGTTTTGAAAGGGAAACTTTTTGGAAATCGCAGATGGTCTATTGCCAAAATGCAGGCCCTTTTTGCGTTTTTAGTTTGTCTTATTAGAGATCTTACAAGATCGAGGTTTGGCCATCTTACCGCAAACGGCAAACCGCGGTTTGCAGTTAGCGGTTTTACTTTAGCTGTCTGCCCATATTTGGAACTTAAGTTTTCATTCATTCGTTGAAGTCTGTTTTAGCTAAAAAATCGTCCTGCAAAATTACGTTTCGATGAAAAAGAACTCGATGATTAATAAGCAAAAAAGTTCTAAGAGGCACTATGTCCTCTCAAACGTGGGCTTGTGATGTTATAGGTCACAAAAGACCTTGTGATACTTCACTTATATCAACAACCTTGTCTAGCCATACAAACGTGAACTTCAAACCGCAAAGCAGACGGCAAGGCACTAGTCACGTGACTTGTTGACTTTCGCGGTTTGCGGGAACTCCGAAAAACATCGACTCTGAATTAGGGTCTCTATTGACATATAAACCGTACCTGTAACTTCAATGCTTGCGCCCGTGATATAACTGCTTCTGTCAGATGCAAGGAAGGTAACCACATCAGCTACGTGATGAATTTTTTTCGCTGACGAATTCCTTAGACCAACAAAAACAAAAGAAACAGAAAAACAGGAAGGTAAGTCCTTTTTGACCTGTTTCATCAACGTTTATGAAAGCATATCATCTGTATCTCTCCCTGAAGCAACAGAGGGTAAAGGTAGAACGCAAAAAGAACGCGTACTCAAATCCTACACAGGACAAGGATTTCGGCTCTGTTTCACAGAGTTTCATCTGTGGCGCAGGCTGCAAAAACCTGAGTGTACAATCAAAATTTACAGAGGTGCCCCGGGTTGAATTTAGTGGTAACAAAAACTGTTGCTAACAGAAAGTTGTCAAATAAGATGAGAGGTTAAGTGTCATTTCAGTACTACAAGGACAGATGATAAGCCATCCTAGCGGAGCTCTCTCGCGCGCGAAGAGCGCGGCGGAGCACCATGGGTAAGAAAATTTGGTTATCTATGCATGCAAGAAATTTTGGTTATGACGTAATCGTCCGTCTCTCCGACCGTACGTCCGCCCGTTCATGTAAGCTGAGGTGAAATTTTACAATTCAAGCACCCCGCGCGTTTCGGCGGTTTATACTACTACATGAGAAATTTCTGCAATTTGATTGGCTTAGAGCAGTGGTATTTCAGCTTAATTTGAAATACCTACATGTGAAAATTACAACCTTTTGCGGGTAGTAGTATAAACAAATAATAGCATGATTTGTACGTGATATTTGGCATAAATACCACTCGTGATATCTCAAAATTGTCTCAAATTTCAATCGCCTAACGGCTCGTGAAATTACGTATAACGATTTTGAAATATCACTCGTGGTATTTATGCCAAATGTCACTACTAATCATGCTATTACCTATACAAATCGCATGGCCGCCCAGACTTTTAGAAAAAGCCAAGTCTTTCTTAGGACTAAATTTTAATGTCTACATTAACGTGGATAACAGGGAAAGAACTAGAGCAGCACTAGAACGAGAAATAAAAAAACAACGGAGACCAATTTCGTTGGAAAATAAAACTTGAAAATTTTATAGCAGTGGTGAGAAAATGAGACATGCTAGAGGCTACCAAGGCGAAAATGAGCGGCAGTGAAAAACCAAAGTGAACAGGAACACAAACATAAAACGTGTAACTAGGAAGTTTCTGGAAGTTTCACGTTTTAGTCGTGCAAAACAACAGCAAGGAAATGTACAAAAAAAGTGTGCTGCACGTGCAAAGCTGTTTTTTTTCTAATCAGACCTATTGATGTTGTTTTTTACCTATCACGTTGTCTTTACCGACTCCTTAGTATAACCAGATTTTATATTTTCTTAGGGTAAACTATAAATATTAAAAGGAGCTTCGCTTTTAGCACTGGCTAAATCTATATATGTGCATGGCCTTTTACGGTCTGTAAAGTAAAACATGTGGAAGCGGAGAGGAACTCACACATCACAAACTCTTTAAATCAAAGGTTCATTGTTGTAACCGGATCAATTTAGGTTTTGGGTGGGCCGGAGGCTCTAAGAACGGCTCACAGGATTGGTTTAGAAAACAACAGATAGTCCTAACCCAAACAAAACTAACAATGAACCCCAACTGTGAAACAATAGAGCTTCGAGCCAACAAGAACCTATCAAATTAGAGGTTCTAAAGAGGTTCTGGCCAACAGTAGGTTTCTGGGAAACTGCCCATCTACTCCTCCCCTAAGTTAGTTCATTAACACTTACTTCTCACTTTGGGCAAAATGATGGCTTAGGGGAGGGGTAGGTGGGCAGTTTCCCAGAAACCTCAATTGATCCTTCTAACCTGATGGTTGGCCAAGTCTGAGCATAGGAACTTGTTTCTTTAACTAGAAAAATGAAATAGAATACATCAGGAATCATTTTGTAATATCAAAATTTTTGGTTAAGGTGATTCCTTAGTAAAAGAACCTAACATAGATTGTAGATGAAACTTGGTACACTGATGTAACAAGTCAAGAAGATGATAAAAACGTAATAAAAAGTGGGGGCCACCGTGCTCGTTTTGACGTCACAATGCTGACAAATACGGCTATTTTGGACCCTTTGACAAAAACCGCGTGCAGCCCAAAACTAGACAAAAAGGAGAGATTTTTTCAATGATGCATATGGTATCGCACAGAATTTGACTTTAATATATTGTTTATCCACTTACCTACCAAAAAAAGGCCTTTTAATGCCCTTGATTTTTCTTTACGCTCCAAACTAGAATTAAATTGGACACGCGCTATTCGACCCTTGATAGCTTAATTCGTACAATTTAGTAAAATTGCCAAAAAACTTAACATAGATTTGTGCCAATTTTTTGCTCATTGAAAGGAAGCACTGCCCTTATTAAAATCATGAAATAAAAAATGGGGGTCACCGTACTAGTTTTTGCAGTAGAGCTGCAGAAAGTGCGCACCAAATGCATTTTCTCCAATTTTTGAGAGAGGACTGGGGCGAGTTTCAAAAGAAAATGTATGTGAAAGGGGGGAGAAAGTATTAAAAAATCCGTTTTTACATAATTTTCATCGAGATATCACATGTAGGACACAATGTGATAAAGAAAGCGTTTAAATGAAAATCAAAGTGAGTAAGCACAAATTAAACATCCACTATCGAGGTTCTCCGTGAGGACGTCAAACTCAGCAACACGCGTACTGCTTACGTTATGCACATTCCCATCAGGTTGAGTCTCACCTAGGCAAGAAACAACCGCAAGCAAAAATTGCAATAACATTTCTCTTCAGTCAACTTCATTTTAATAATGTTAGTCACATGCTCTTTTTTACGGAGGCCATCTTGTTATGCGCAGTAAGAGATGCGCAGTGCAAAACCAGGGAATCACCTTAACTACTTTTGTCGCTAGAGACGCATGGGACTGAACCCTTTTCAACCAGAATGAACAATGAAATCTTGTAAGGTGTCTCTCACTTTTGAGTTTGTGAATGAAATCCTATGGTGTTACCATTCAAATGATTCCTCTTAAGCAGTACTTTCACATGGTACTATTTATTTAGCATGTAATTCTAACTTTTGATTCTTTGGACCAAATCCTATGGTGTTACCATTCAAATGAAACCTCTTCAGCAGTACTTTCACATGGCAGTAATTTCTTTGGCAGTAATTTCGTGTGGTACTATTTGCTTTATATTTCAACATTAAACAAATTAAAATTTGGAAATTTTGTTGAATTTTAAATATGATCACTTTTGGGAGTGAAAATGTTAAACTGAACCAATGGTGGCACACCTTTTCTATGACTTTTTCAGGGACAGCTTCAGTCATCGGAGTTTCAATGAAACCAGGTAGAACGGCATTACATCTAACGCCAAACCTGAGACACACACAAAGCAAAGGCAGTGTAAACTGTTAGCAATTTGTTAAAATTACATCAGTTGATAACAGCACTTCATTGAAAAACAAAAATAGTATTATTTTGTCTTTAATACACTTAAGTAACACTTACTGTCAAACTCAGAGAACAGAGAACACTAGTCTTGAAATTTTGCAGGAATGTTTATTGTACTGTAACCAATCACAATATGATCAGGAGATGCAAACAGGCCACAAAACCACACACGAATTACCGTTTCTACTTGCAGCTAAAGTTTTCTCATGCCTGATTGGGTTTTCCTTGCAACACAAAAACAGTCCAGAAATAATTTCAGGTGTTCATGGTTCCCTGAATTTCACAGCAAACTATTAATTTATGCCACTGACTTATTGTGGAATTCACATTCTGGTCAAGCTAGATTAATCTTCATGGCTAGTTAGGGGAATACACCCACATTCCCAAGAAGAAAATACTTAGAAGACCAAATGACCCTGGGAACCTAAACCGCAAAGTTAAAAACCATTAATTGGCAAAATTCAATGCTAGCAAATAATTAAAACTCAGGGTACTACAGGCTGGTACAGTGTAGAAAGCTTAACATACAAAATACTCTCCTTTCTGCAACTGTCCTGCTACCCACCCAAAATCAATATGAACTATGAGACACATACTTAGCAAGTTCTTTGGCACATGACCTAGTGAGTCCCTCGACACCAGCTTTAGAAGCAGCATAGTTAACCTGACCAAGATTTCCAACCTGGTATTGTAAAGGAAGAATGGTTTTAAAGACATGATCATGTTGATGCAGTTGTGTGATAAGTTGAGGACTGGAGTTTTGGGTTACTCACGGTGGAATTGTGGTCATTTTGCTCAAAAGTCACCTTGCATGACAGCATTTTGCCTACTTACCTGGATTATTTCAGTTGATTAGGACACCATGTAGCTTTTTTTTGTTATGGTTGCAGAAAAAAGGCCAGCAGTCTGAACTTAGCAATATGGCAATGATCATATGGAAAGCATCCAAAAGACAGAACTGAAGTCTACCTAAGCAATTGTAAGGATCATTATGTTGATCATTTAGAGAGATTGTGGTAAATTTTTACTAGAAAAAGCTGTTAATCCACATAGCTGTAAAGTCACTGTCTTTCCATCCTGCGACAAATACNAGGGTACTACAGGCTGGTGCAGTGTAGAAAGCAAAACATACAAATACTCTCCTTTCTGCAACTTTCCTGCTACCCACCCAAAATCAATATGAACTATGAGACACATACTTAGCAAGTTCTTTGGCACATGACCTAGTGAGTCCCTCGACACCAGCTTTAGAAGCAGCATAGTTAACCTGACCAAGATTTCCAACCTGGTATTGTAAAGGAAGAATGGTTTTAAAGACATGATCATGTTGATGCAGTTGTGTGATAAGTTGAGGACTGGAGTTTTGGGTTACTCACGGTGGAATTGTGGTCATTTTGCTCAAAAGTCACCTTGCATGACAGCATTTTGCCTACTTACCTGGATTATTTCAGTTGATTAGGACACCATGTAGCTTTTTTTTGTTATGGTTGCAGAAAAAAGGCCAGCAGTCTGAACTTAGCAATATGGCAATGATCATATGGAAAGCATCCAAAAGACAGAACTGAAGTCTACCTAAGCAATTGTAAGGATCATTATGTTGATCATTTAGAGAGATTGTGGTAAATTTTTACTAGAAAAAGCTGTTAATCCACATAGCTGTAAAGTCACTGTCTTTCCATCCTGCGACAAATACGTATTGCAAACATGGATTTACAAGTCTTGTTAAATGTACTGAACAGTGCAAAGATATTGAACAGTTTTGTGTGAACAAAGTGTCCGGTCAAATTTTTCAACTGATTGAAAATTAGAACGGTACTGTGTGAATGTAGCCTGAATTTAACTGTTATAAAATAGGGAGTTTTAGCAATGACGACGGCTACGGCGGTGAAAACGTCACTTTTAAAATGAATTAGCATTTTTCAAACGTTATTGCGTTTATTCCAATTCACTGAAAATGTCTAATGTAGGCAAATTTCCTTAGAGCTGATTACTTGGGGACCACACTCAAGCTTAGAAAGAGAAAAAAAAATTTGTCATGACTTTGTTACATCCTTGATAAACCGTGAAATTAGGCATTTTCCATCGCAGTCATGCAGCAACAGCAAAGAAATGTACAAAAAAGCGTGATGCACATGCAAACTTGTTATTTTGGTTAATAAACCTTGCTGTTTTGATGTTCATGTTGCCGTCACTGTCATCATTGCTTAAACTCCCTATTGACTTTCAGGCAAAACAATGGGATTCCACAATGGAGCTTGGTTCCACTGCACAGCACAACACATAAATTGCCTACTATACTCGCCAAATTCACAATAGAACCATTTTTAACACCTTGATCAACCATAACTTTTGCAACAGCTTGAGTCATCAAAAATGTCCCCTGGAAAGAGAGGCAGATCAGCCATGTAAACAACACGAGGAGTCAGTTTTTTAAAAAAATATTACAGGAGCCAAATATTATTCTATTTTTACAGTTTGCTTGACGTTAGTTTTGTCATCACTTTAAGTCTGTCCACCATAAATATTGAAAATGGTGTCAAGATGACACCGAAATGTCATTCTTTCTTATCCACATTATTTTTTACCTGTTTCTGCTCCATTTTTAACCTATATAATCGCAAGAAAGCCCCCGAATTTTAATGACTGATGTTATTAAAAGAGATCTTGGTTTATATAGCATAAAAACAGCATGATGCAAGCATATGCAAAAACACACTCAAATGTTTTGGTAGTTATTAATGTTGGCACTAGAGAACTGAAAAAAAAAAGATGAATCCAACATAGCAGCACGTTTTTCTTGCTTGTTCTTGAGCTTTCCTTTGCATCATTCCAGTTTAGTTATAGCTTTCTTGTACTTAAAAGTATGCTTATATCTAAGATATTTAAGCCAGCAGTTCTGCAAATCGACTGAAATCAAGTAGATCAGTCTTTAACAGAATGAGTGAAGAGTAAATGTTAATTTTTTTAAAGCCATTTGCATGGATGGTTAAAGCCACTTACCTTGAGGTTGACTTTAATGACCTTATCAAACTTTTCCTCATCCATTTTCAGTAAGAATTCATCACTAGTGATGCCAGCACAATTGACTAAAATGCACGGTGGCTTCTTATACCCACTTATAATATACTCCAGCACCTTATGTATTTCCTCTCCACTTGACACGTCTAAAGAATAGTTTTTGTGTTTTAAGCTGGCATGTTGTGATAAGCTGTCTACTGTTTCCTGAGTCCCTTGACTGTTTAGATCTGTTACAACGACGCCGGCTCCTTCTGTGGCTAAAGCTTGACAGACAGCTCTACCAATTCCACTGGCACCACCTTCAGACACAAATGCATTATTAATAATTTTTTGATTTGAAAAACTCCAAGCCTGTGTCCCAGACATAAGCTAACCCTGGATATTCTTGTTCCTGCACCCTAACAGATTCAACAAATTGTCGGAAATTCGTTTCAAATTCCCTTTCAATCTGATTGGTAAATCAACAATGGCTTTTTCAGCAGGCCAATAATAAATTTAACGGTGCATTCTCAAATCAAGTGGGGGCTCAGAACAAGGATTTTCTGTGCTGGTTCGTAGACATACTTAACCAGAAGTTTATTTCAGTCTAAATTAATAATTATATTTCTTGTATATTCTTTAAATTGTCTACAGTAGAAATAAAAATGATGTTGATGTTGTTGGTAAACTATTAATTCATGCAACTTTTATAGAAAAAATCACCTTTACGTGAAACTCTTCAGGGTTAGACCCATACTTTATGAAAGTCTTCAGGGGTGAGTGCATTTTTATATAATTCTGCAGGCCTAGGAGGTAAGAAGAAATAAGGTAAGTCCGCAACAGAAGCCTGGCTAGGGTACGGATATTATTAAAATGCAATAGCCCTATGTGAATGCAAGCCCTAAAAATTGTCTCTGTGAAGAAAAAAAAAAAGATGAAGTGGGCCTTAAACGTCTTTCTCTCGATTTATTAATCCCAAGAGAGACCTTATTAGCATTACAAAACAAAAGCTTACCTGTAACTTATAGTAATAATAACAATAGTAACAACTAGTAAATCCACAGGATAGGATTTTGTTTTGGAAGAGCTGGAGAAAATGCCGGGAATTTCGTACCTCTTGACAAGAAGAAATAGCCAACCTTTCGCCGAAAAGCATAGCTGCGGAAAAAAGCGAAAAAATATATATATATAACGGATGACCACTGCTACTTGAAGATCTAGAATATCCGCTAGGATACCCTGTTCCAGGCGTTCAAATTGTGGGGATAATTAAGAAATCAGGGGCGGACCCAGGAATTTTTGTTTTGGGGGTCCAAACTTTGGTTGAATTTTTTGTGGCGGATTACCATTTTCAGACAGAGACGACCACGTGTTTCGTCAATCTGTGAACGCAGGTCGCCGTTGGCACGGGAAATACTGCTTTGCGAGCAGAGGAGAACAGATCATAGGAGGGTACCCAAAAACAACTACATTTTTGAGTATCCCTGGAATTTAGTTTAGTGGCGGGAGGCGGGGGGGTTCCGGAGTCCCCGGACCCTCCCTGGATCCGCCACTGGAGATAGAACAAAAGAGAGAGTTCTCCCTCTCCCTCCTAATTTAAAATTCGCTCTCTGACTTCGCGCCGCTCTCCACTATCAGAACGCCTCGAACAGGCTACTATTGGGTTAAACATCCCTTTATATCCTGAATTCGCCGCGATTAGGCAAATGAAGCGGGGAACTTAAAATGATTCCGGGAGGTACGCGACCAATATTTGGATATAAGTGAGCCGCTGAGGGTTTGAAACCTTGACCCTGTTTAGGACAAAAAAAAATCCTAAACACATACACTGTTTGGGACAACAGCCTAAATTTTATCATACTATTTAGGACAAAGGACAAAGTGCACGCTATCCTGTTTTTCAGCCATTTATTGGCAATGCAATAGAGCAAATTCACGTTATAGTCACTGCTTTTGTATAGTTGGAGTGCAAACAAATTTCATCCTATTTATTTTCTGGATTTGGAACATGAGCATAATTCCGCATAGAGCCGTCGTATATAATGCCCTTTGGAATTCCTTATTGTTTTTAAGCTGCAAATAAATCCTCCCTTTTGTTTAAGGTCTCGTTCACACGAGTCCGGATTTTAAAATAAGCGGTTTCAAAAATACGAATTTACGCAAAACTAATTACGTCCCGGGGAGAGGGGTACTCCTGGGAATTCTTGGTGGGGGTCTGCCGCTCCAAATCCTGACCCTATTTCAAACCAAAAAATGTCATTCTTCACAACCGTTTTCAGACCTGGCCTCTAAAGTCCATACCCGTTTTCAGACCTTGTCTCTACAAAATTATGTCATTATTACTTAGATTAGAACAGCAACAAAAAGGATTTCTTTAAGAGCATTTCGAATTCACATATTTCTCTTTCTTTCTTATTCATTTGGAATTGAAACGATAAATAAGTTCAAACACTCCCGTAGTTCCCTCGAAAACCATACCAGATTTCAGACCAAAATAGGCAAAGTGCATTCCCGTTTTCAGACCAAAATGGTGCAAACCCCCTACCCTTTGGAGCGGCACATACCTATATGGTTTATATGGGTGAGTACCCCACCCCCTTCCCCCGGGAAGTACGGTGGTTGAGTGTTAAAATTGATATTGGTTCAAAAAATATCGAGACTCGTGTGGACGCTGCTTTAAGCATAACTTGACCGTATTACACATTATAAGCGTACTACTATAAGCATTACTATATAAACAGTATTGGCGTATTACTACGACTACTAGACACATTATCAGAGTTTCAAGGAGTCTGCGAGCAAGCTCTCCATTTGGGGGAGTCATGAGAAGTCACACGAGACCAGGACGGGAAAAGAGACACGAGTGCGAGGGGCGGGTGAAAGAAAGGGAGCCGCCCCTTGCAGTTTCACCGCTCACTTACGCATTCTCTCCAGACTTGCACAGGAGGGGTCAAAACCGGTATTTTTTCTTTAGAATTAATTTAATTACCAAGTTTTTCGCTTGGCTTGTCTGACGCGTATTAACCTGCAATAAGGCGTTTTTTGTGTACTTTTTCCCTCGTCTCCAATACAAAAAGGGAGGGACACCTGATCGCAGGTTAGTCGCGTAGTTGATTTGTTCACGCCCCGTGTAAACAAACCAACTACGCCACAGACAAGCCACGCCGCCACCCAAACGACTTCGTAAACGCTAAAAGCCATGCAAGAGAGAAACCGCTGCTCGCAGGGTATCCCATACTGGTGTCATGCCTGGAATTTGGAAGAGTATCCTTTATCATTAAAAATAAGTCCGTCTATTATGAAAAATCTGACCGATTTACGTAAAACGGTGGAAATCGGTGTGGATCGGCGATCCGCATCTGCAAGGGCTATCCAGTGGACAGGTTAAGGGGGCTGTCAAAAAATCCATATTTTTTATGCTTTATTGCATCCATTTTGAAGTTATTTGTAACCCTTGTTATTTAATTGGTTTAAAAAAGATGCGGTTTCGGTGAGCAGATTCACAGCTCTCGTGTGGAAAGAAGGCCGATTCGTGTGACCCCCCCGGGGGGGGGGGGTACTTGGGTTAATTTTTGCTAGGTATGTGCCGCTGGCCCCTACCCCATTACAGTCTATCCGGTGGCCAATTATAGACCCCGTCTTAGTTACTTTTGGACAAATATGTAATTTTCGTGATCCCAACTTAGTCACTTTCTATCTATGTATCTACCTTAGCAGTCCCATTTTAAAAATTGAAAGAAGAACACTTTACTTTTCACCAACCTCGTCCCCAGGGCGCTTTTCCCGCCCCACCTCCAAAGCCAAAGAAAAGCGCCCTGGGGACGAGGTTGGGATTTGTACGTCTGATAGAAGTCCCTTTACAAACCTTGGTCGAGATTTTAGGAGGCTCTTTTCCGACAACAAAGCACTCAGGGGGGAGGTACCAGTAGGTGCCAGCCCCTTGGGACGTGAGTTCCATGCTGTCATCACTACAGTCCATCATTTGACTGAGACCAAAATCGGTGATTTTCACCTCCCCACTGAGGGCACCCGTGCCAACCATGAGAATGTTTCCTGTGAACCAAAATAAGTGAACAGGCTTACGTTCAGAGTACCCGGCCACTCAAAAGCTCTACCTCTAGAACAGTGGCTACGTGGAAAATGGCTCTGCGGCTACGTGCCACTTAGCCATGAAGCCACTGATACAGCCCCGTTGCCACGTTATCTTTAGCGAAGGAATCAGAGAAAACAGCAGTTTTTCCTCGCTCTACGCCCTGGGGACGTTTCGCGCGGAGGAACGTCTGCGACTCAGCGGCAGAAATTCCATAGTGATGACATAAATCAATGTTTACATAATAAATCCGGTAGTCATGGGGTTCCAAATGCAAATTTGTTCAATTTTACGTTTCTCCCGGTCGCTTTTGGTAAACTGTTGTCTTCATCTGTGAACAAGCTCCAGAAAACTCAAATGCTTCTTCTAGAGAAGACTATATTCAACAAATATTGGTTTGTCTTTTGTCTGTCATTCGTAAACAATGGCTAAAACAATGTAACCACTCCCTCGACTAAGCAGCGCTTCTGACCGGATTACGGACAGATTTTATATCATCAGTATGGAATTTCTGCCGCTGAGTCGCAGACGTTCCTGCGCGCGAAACGTCACCAGCGGCGAAGAGTGAGGAGAAACGGCTGTTTTCGCAGGCTATAAGCGAAGCCACGTAGCAGGGTAACCACGTAGTCACCAAGCCACGTAGTCACGTATAAGCGCACTGAAGAAGCCATAAAGGAATTCACGTCATTGACTATCTTGCCTGCACTGAACCACAAGTTCTCAAAGCGATAATAGCATGTTTTCGTCAAACAAATCGTAGCGTTCTTGCCAGGCTTAACTCCTCATTTTCAAGATGAGGCCAAGTGCAAAATCTTCTAATTTTGGGGGAACCAAAACGATTACTTTCATATAAAGGTAACGCACTTTCTCGACTTAAATTAGAGACTTGGGCAACTTAGAAACGGGCTATTTGTACCTTACTTAGTTGCAGGCGATAAAAGGGGGAAGACGAAGGAAAACTAGAATCACGCAAAATGTGACAAAATAATGTATAGGACTAGTAATAACCAAAGGTTACGGAGTGCGGGCGACAACGATCGAAGGTCAAAACGCTTTTGGTTATGCGCTGTGCTTTGCGTAAGTTTCACGTGACAGATGGTCAAAACACGCGTGATCAGATTACGAGTGATAGACGGTCCAAACGCGCGTGATCAAAGTGCGCTCTGTGCATTCCATACATTCTTAGTAGAAGTCCAAACGAATGCTGTCTACATACATGCGACGCATGCGTAATAACAACCTGGAGATTAAGATTGCGGGCGATAAGAGGAGCCCACAACAAGAAAAATAGCAGAGG